GCCCCCGCCGGGGGCCCCCCCTCCGGGGGGGCCCGGCCCCCCCGCTCCGCGGGGGGAGCATTTTCCCCGCTGGGCGAGCTTCTGGCTGGCGATCGGCTTCTGCTGGCGCGGCGGTTCAGAAGGCCCCTGGAGCTGAGGCCCAGAAAATGAGCCAGCCCGGAAAGGTTGACCTCTCGATGTTCGAGGGCCCACCTCCCGCTGCGCCGCGCTACCGGAGCGCGCAGCCTGCAGTGCAGCAGAACCCGTTCGCGCCGGCGCAGCCCGCGGCGCAGCCAAACCCGTTTACTCAGCCAGCAGCCGCGGCGGACCCGTTCTCCCCGCCGCCAGCGCCGGCGCCGGCCGACCCGTTCTCCCCGCCGCCGGCCGCGCCCGATCCCTTCTCCCCGCCCCCCAACGGATTTCGGGGCGCGAGCGCGGCGCCGATTGCGGACAACCCGTTTGCGCCGGCCGCGCCAGCCGCGCCGGTGGACAACCCGTTCTTCGGCGGGCCGTCCGACGACGCGGCCGGCGGCAGCGACAGCCTGCTCGGCGCGCTCGACCCCGACGCGGCGCAGCCAGAGGAGTCGCTCACAGTGGGCGAGATTGAGGCACCGAGATTCCCCGAGATTTCCCGAGATTACCCGAGATTACCCGAGAGTCGCTCCCAGTGGGCGAGATTGAGGGGCGCCTCCCGGATGCCTGTTTTTTTTGTTTTTTTTCCCCCCACTTTTTTTTTTGTTTCCCCCTCATTTGCCCGCCGCCGCCTGGTTTGGACCCGCCGCCGTTCTTTGCCGCTTTTGTTATGGCCCCCGCCCCCCCCCCCCCCCCTGCCGTTCCGATCCCCTTCTCACAACCACAGCCCTCTCTCTCTGCTGCCTCCCTCCTCCCCGCCACCTCCCTCCTCCCCACCGCCCTCCCTCCTCCCCACCGCCCTCCCTCTTAGACACAAAGAGGCATTGGGGCACCACCCCAAGCGTACACGCTGCATCAACGCCGTCCAGCTGCGTGACGCGCCACCCCTCCCCCATGCTCCGCCGCAGACGCAGATCGCGCCCGGGGAGAAGGAGGAGGACGAGGACAAGACGCTCGTGCTGTCTCGGCAGGAGACCTTTCCCCCCCACACACACACGCACACGCACACGCACACACACACGCACACGCACACGCACACGCACACGCACACGCACACGCGCACGCGCACGCGCACGCGCACGCGCACGCGCACGCGCACGCGCACGCGCACGCGCACGCGCACGCGCAGGCGCACGCGCACGCGCACGCGCACGCGCACGCGCACGCG